CGTGTGTGGGTGGGTGGGGGGGATGAAATTACAAATGGTTAAATGCTTAACAAAACTAATCTACTAGTATGTGAAAGAATTGCGTTCATGTGCATTAAAATGAGAGTACAACTATGCATGTAGATATTCTCTGGCATTTTATTCTTGTGAAACAAGAGAAAAGAATTAGATTTACAAAAGACTTGGATTTTCTTTTATTTTACTTATATTTTTATTTTTCTAGAAAGGTACTAACATTTATATCCATCAGCACCCAAAACAGGGCTGGTATCTAAATTTACAAGCACAATACCACTGTAAATCTTCCAGATAGTTAAAAAAAAAAAAAAGTCGAGTAGTGATTTCTGCATCACCGACCAACGATTCTTTACACCAAAAATGAAAAAGAGAAATGCATGAACTCTTGATTTCTATGTTGAACTATTATTGCCTTCAAAATACAAAAGAATTAGATTTACCTAGTGCAATATTTGCATTATTGGTTTTTTTAAGTGATAATAATCTTCTGTAGATTCCTCGGATCCTAGAAAAGTATTCACCATACCTGGAGAACCTTACAGTTTCAAAGATGGACAACTGGGCTTGCATAAGTGGCTTAAAGAAATGACCGAGCAGCAGCAGAAGGGAAAACAGAGGTTGATTTTTCTAACGTTAAAAGAACTTTGAGAAATTCTGATGTATTAAGGGACTGAACTTTGCTCGTCATTGACTTTTCGAGAGCAATGCATGGCCAGTTAAATGTATTATTCACCTTTGTTTATCTGGACAAGTGTTGGAAACCCTTGTTAAAAGTATAGAAACACCTGCTTCACTAACCACGAGAGACTTCATACTTGCTGAAGGTTGCGCGAAGAGTACTACCTCAAGATCCTAAGTTTATCGGCTATTTAGTCTGTATGTATATTGCTTTCTGTAAAAGATAATCTTTAGAAGCTCTGATGTTCTTCTAGAAGAGTAAAAGTTAGAATACATGTGACACATTCTCATATTTAAGTTGGTCTGATGGTAAGCAACCTCCACTTCTAACCAAGAGGTTGTGAGTTCGAGTCTCCCCAAGAGCAAGGTGAGAAGTTCTTGGAGGGAAGCATGTCAGAGTCTCCCCAAGAGCAAGGTGGGAAGTTCTTGGAGGGAAGCATGTCAGGGATCTATTTGGAAATAGCCTCTCTACCCCAGGGTAAGAGTAAGGTTTGCGTACATACTACCCTTCCCAAACCCCACTAAGTGAGATTATACTGGGTGTTGTTGTATATTTAATGCTCACAACTTTCCTCTAGACTTTGCTGCTATCAAAGCTCCATCTACATATGGTACAATCCCGGAGGTTTTGAAAAGAAAGGACCAATAATCACTTTCTTCATTTCAAGCAAAGACGAATATTTCCATTCCGTGACTATAGCTGTTACGATTTTAATTAGCTGAGAATAAGCTAACAAGATTGATTAACGACATTTATTAACTTTTGTGTGTCGCCTACTGCCTCACATAAGAATGCTAAAGTTAGCCATGGAGCAAGTCTACTACTCCTATGGAACGTAAGACTACTGGCTGCTTGATCTCATGTCTATGCTTGTCAACGGGGCATGAAATGAAACCCAAATAACCAATAAAAAGAAATCAATTTAAAACAAACTAACAACTAATATTCTTCATGATAATAATACATATGTTAGCTGTTTCTCGAATTGCAAAAATAAAGCAGCTTGTTAGACAAAAAGAGTCCCAAAAAACCACTTCCAGTCCATAACAAAATATGCAACACTTGAGAGCTGAGACGTTTCAGTCAATCAAATATTCCAATCAATCTTCACCAGTGCCGCTGGAACCTTGAGTTAACCAAAGTTAAGACTGGATCTGCTAAATAATACAATTCAATACACATTTAGCAGATTGCGGCCAAGGGCAAAATAACCTCTCTGAAATCTGTTTACAATAGAAAGGGATCAACTTCATTGAAAAAATAACACAAAAGGAAGTACGAGAGCTTCAATGTGACACGCTTAAATTTTATTCTTTTTTCTGTTCCAGACTTAACTAAAGATATCCTTGTCCATCAGCTTTTTTCATTTCTCAATAATCTTTGATACACAAGCATTCACAGTGTAGTCATCCCAGGAACTTAGAAATTCAGCCAACTAGCACCTAAGTCCTGACTCAGTACATTGCAGCAAGCCAATTTGATTAAGAATCTAAAAAAGGACCCAAATGGCATGAAAATTGTACCTCCTCACATCACCGCTTGAGTTGTCTCCTGGCTAGAGCAGGAGCCCTCTTAGGGATGTAAACCTTGTAGTTTACCTGGCCAACATACAGTCATACACCATGTGAAGATGAGATCAAACAAATTAGAATTGGAACATATTGGAAATGTCTCCCACGGGTATTTGAATGGTAACAATACCCAAGCTATGGAAAGACATTAAGTATTAAACTTCCCATCGTCAGTCCATCTACACTTGAGAGCTGCTTTTTTATGTGATAACGATGCTCTTCAAGCGACTCTCATAGACACTCTACTAGCAAGGGGGAAAAAACAACAACAAACCCAGTGTAGTCCCACAAGTGGGGTCTGGGGAAAGTAGAGTGTACGCAGACCTTACCCCTGCCTTTAAAAAGACAGAGAGTGGAAGACCCTCGTTTCAGGGAGGAAAACGGGACGGAGCAATAACAAGCAAACCAGTATGTCAACCAAAGCGAAAATAGAAAACTAACACTAAGTAATGCAAACAGAAAATCAAAACAAGGCAGCCCCGGAAAAAAAAAGTTCCAAAAAATGGGGACTTTGCATGCATCTTTGTTTCTTCCCTTTATAAAAGAATGTAAAAGTAAGTTAATCAGAAATTAGCCAAGGGAGTGCCACCCGGGTACAAAACAGTTAACCAAAAACCCGAATACAACAAAACACGTATATTACCAGATATGTTTGGCAGAGGTTAGAGAAACATGAAAACATATGCAAGTCTTATCTCTAATAATGAATTCCCAACAGGGACTACCCACAAGAAAGGATCAATCATTATGTATTAGAAAGAATAGGTCTGGGAGAGAGAACAAAGTTGTTTCTTAAAAGCTTAACCAAATACTAAGCCTGTTTGCTTAGGGTTATTTTACCTGGTCAAATCAGTTTTTTGGTTTAATCAGTTTGCTCCCCACTATAGTGTTTGGCTATAACTAAAAGAAATCTATAGTTAGAGCTAATTACTAACAAATAAACTAATAATTTCTATCAATTCTCTAATAGTTATTCATATAAGCTAGCGTTTGACCATAGATTTCCAAATTTGTTTTGAAAAATCTGATTTGGGTGAAGTTTGGTTTGAAGATGAAAATGTGTTTGGACATCAGTTTTCAAAACATATTTCACTTTTTTTTTTTTTGAAAAAACATAAAACATGAGTTATATCCACAAGTTTTAAAAACTATCACAAATACCCAACAGTACCTTCATCAATAACATTTATTAATTATCGCAAACCATAGTCCTGAACATAAAAAAATTTGGTACAAAATTATCATTTTTATAATGAACTACATAATACACTATCAAATGAAAGATGAAGCAGCATTGTTACAAAATAATAAATGGTGGGCTCTTTTATAAAATACAAAAGTTTGGGGCAATTTTTAAAAAATGTAATAGTAATATTTTGGGCCAAAACAGAGCTGGTTTTGGGATTTGGGTTTTGATAATTTGCCAAAATATGGATAAAATTTATGAACAAACATGTATTTGCCAAAAAAAGCCCAAATATATTTTGGCAAAATCTATGGCCAAACAGGTCCTAAATAATCAGAAATAATTTAAAGAATCTAAACCGAACAGGGTGAGATTTATTTACTTGTAGAATTATTTATCAACCCCGGAGTTGGAAAATCCCAGCCTGACATGCATAATAATGGAATACGATTATAATACCTGTACCATTTCACCACCCCTCATTACAGACATGGTCTTTTGTTCGAACTGAGAGCCATCCTTGGCATCTGGCTGGTGTTTTGAAGTAAGTCCTTCAGATGTGGATCTGACACCAGAAGTGGTTTCTACATTAGGACGGATACTGGTATTAACAGCTCCGATGCCTAAGTTATCGCTGGTCCCGGTGCTAAGAACTCCAGGTCTCAAAGGATCTGGTGTTTTATTTATGTTTCTCTGGGAAGCCAATGAATCTTCCCTTTTATATGTCTGTACTGTGGTAATACATGATGGTTTACCAGGTTCCGATTCATCGATATGAACTGGTGCAGCGGTATGGTCCTCCTTTTCTGGACTCCGTGAGAGCGCTGATCTATCAGCAGGTTGCGTAATACTCTCCTTAATGTATCCAGTTCGTTTTCCGTTGTTCTCTTCAACTGCAGTATTTATCTCAATCTTTGTGGAATGAGGAAACTCCTCATTAGTTACAAGCTTGTTTCTACATCCTATAACTTGATTTAAAGCCAATCCCTCTTTATTTTCCTGTTCCAGGTACTTGTACGGTAGAACCTCAGTCTTTGGAGGAGATAACCGATTAACATCACTGTCATTCTTCTTTTCCTTGGCACCAGATTTCAAATTTGTTTGAAGCTCTTTACGGAACTTCTGCAAGTTCTCCAATGCCTTTTTCCTTAAGAGAGTCTCAAGATCCTCGAAACCTGAATTAGCATTACTATCAGAAACCCCACCCTCACCTCCATTATTGTGACTTACTTCCTTGACTTTATTTGGATGAGGATCTATAATACCACCAACTTTTGTGGGGCCAATAGTTTCACTATTGGGAGGAACTGCATCAACTATTATCAAATTTTCAACCTGCATTGTTTGATTAGACGAGAAACAAGAACAAGAAGCTAATTTCCTTTTACTTTCCAGGTCATTATTGTCATGGTTTCTGCAGGAAGGGCAACCATGATGCTTATTCAAACTCTCTTCCTTAAGCATATCTGTTCCCTGTTCGTCTCCCTCTTTCTCGTATGTCTTTTCTGGAACAATAATAACAGATCTTAAGCGCTTAGGATTTTTCTCTTCCACATATCCCGTCCCACTGTGAGTAGTATTACAAGAACATGATTGATGATTACATGAAGAACAACTTGGCCCCCTACTTCCACTCCTCTTTTCAATGCTTGGCTCATTACAAATTCTCTTTTCTTTCATCCCTTTTCTTGACTTAATCCTGGGACTCTTCTGATCAATATCCTTACTACCACTAGTACAATCACTTCCTCTGGAGCTAATACTATTTTCACATCGGCAACTAGAACAACTTCTTGAGTCACTGCTTTTGGAGCTAATACTAGCATGTCTCCTTCGCTTCTTCTTCTGCACTTTCCTCCCATAATCAAGACCCTTTCTATTTGACCTTTTTCTTTTCTTTACAAGGGGTGAACCCCCATTGACATCTCGGCTTGAGGATCTTCTCCGAGTTCTTTTCTTCAAGTGTTTCACATCACGTGAGTGCCTACGACTTTTCCTACTATAATCATCCTCTGAACTAGAGGACAAAGACTGTGGACTGCTAGAATAATCGGAGGAAGCAGAAGATGACGTGTCATCCTCAGAACTGGAAAACTTCTTGGATTTGTTTCTTCTGCTTTTTCTCTTCCGGATCTAACCACACAACACATGAAGATGTATAATAAAGGATAATAAATTGGGGATGCCAGCGACAAGACGAGAAAATATTGATATGAAAACAGCACATATTGATTAGCTTAACATTGTCCTAGGGAAGCATGCCTATTAAAATTAAAGAGATAGTTGCAATTTCTCATTAAAGTAACTATGATATTTTAGTTATTAAATTTTTTCAATAAAAAGGTAACAACGTCCGCTGGCTAGTAAATCTTTCATAATTCTTTCTTCGGTGTGTCAGTTTAAGGAATTACAAATTGAAACACCAAAAAAGATATTTAAACAAGAGCTTATATATCTGTTTTACCATGGTTACTATGACGCCTTCTTAGATATGAGTATTAAAAAGTGCAGGTAAATATTTTTCTAATGAAGAGTACTAATCGGATTAGATAAGCTAGTTCTCTAGATTTATTCCACTATA